CGTTTATGGTTTTATACTATATTCCAAGAGACGTGATAGTGAGTTTCTGCTCACTCTCAAAAGACTTTCTTTAACGATGCAGATGAAGCAAAGAGCTGGCTTCAAGAATTCAAATATAAAAACAAGATCGTTGATATAGAAGGAATTAATTTTTTTTTTCTGGTGGAAACATTATTGGTTGAATCCTGTAAATGGTTAGCAAAAGTAAAAAAAAGAAAAAAAAGGAAAAGCAAAAAATCTGCGTTAAGCTAATAACGATAAGAATATAGTATTCTGCATATATGCTTGGATCATAATTTTTTTTTGGGGGGGGGGTTCACTTATGTGAATGGTAGAAGAATTGTTTGGAAGTTTATGATGAATGTAATTTACAAATAACATACACAAAAATAATGAGATGAGTTAATGAGGATAAAAGGTTGTCACAAATATTCCCACGTATATCGGTTTAGACTAATTTTATACAAATCATTTATTAAAGGACCACTCTAGGCACCCAGACCACTTCAGCTTAATGAAGTGGTCTGGGTGCCAGGTCCAGCTAGGGTTAACCCATTTTTTAATAAACATAGCAGTTTCAGAGAAACTGCTATGTTTATTAATAATAAATTCCCCTAATCTCTCAGTGGCTGTCTCATTGACAGCCACTAGAACTTCGCGTCTCTCTTGATTTTCACAGTGAGCGCCAGCGTCCATAGGAAAAGCATATGAATGCTTTTATGTGACACGGCTGAATGGCGCAAGGCGCGGCGTGCGCATTCAGCCCGACGGGGCGGCGGAGGAGGGAGAGAAGGAGGAGAGCTCTCCGCCCAGCGCTGGAAAAAGGTAAGTTTTAACCCCTTTCCCCTTTCCAGAGCCGGGCGGGAGGGGGACCCTGAGGGTGGGGGCACCCTCAGGGCACTATAGTGCCAGGAAAACGAGTATGTTTTCCTGGCACTATAGTGGTCCTTTAAGGTTTTCACCTATGTTAAAGGCAGAAGAATCTGCCCAAAGTTTATGATAAATGTAATTTACAAATAACAAACACAAGAAATAATGGGATCGGTTAATAAGGATAAATTTGAAAGGTACTTATATATACCCCTATGCATATTTGTCTGGTTTATTATTATTTTTTTTTTGCACCAATATAAAGGCAGAAGAACCTGCTTAAAACTTATGATGAAGTTAAATACAAAATTGATTAAGGTGTGCATTTATGATCAATTCTGGAATTTGTCTAAACACACGTTTAATGTAATATAATAACAATATACTTATAAAATAATGTGATGTGGTTAGAAAGTTGTTATACATATTGTAAATTTATTTATATATGTTTAGTCTATATTTTTTTTTTTTTAAGGTTTGCACTAAGATGATTGTAGAGAAATATTTGTATAAATGCTATGATAATAATAACCGGAAAATTACAATATGGAGAAAAGTCGGAGGAGATAACAATGATAAAGTTGCTTTTTATATTTTGAATGCCAGGATTAGAACTTTTTATTTTTAATATGGAGCATCACCCTAATCCGGACAGACCTACTTCGTGTCTAACATTTAGACACAGGATTAGACTGACTCACCAGCTGGTGAGTTAACAATCTTTGTGCTTAAGGAGGATGTTATCCTCCTACGATTTTTGTTATATGTGTGTATGTGCAGCAATGGAGAGGAATAGGGGAGATCATAGTGTCGAAATGGAGGGAAAGGGGTTTTGGAATCTATAATGATAAGAATGTTAACTCTTAATGTCCAAGCTATGAACACAACAACAAAGAGGTCCTTAGTATATAAATATTTAGCCGCAGAACATATAGACTTGGGATTTCTACAAAAAACCCATTGGAGGCAATCAGACAAACAGACTTGGGGTGGAAAAAAATTCCCGCTTATTATACAAGCCTCAAATAAAGATGAAAAGAAATGTGGAGTAGCTATAATATTTGGCAAAAAAATAGAGGTAGAAATAATTCAACAATTACAAGATGCAGATGGCAGATTTTTGGCAATAGTATGTAAAATGAATTCCAATTTATTTACACTCTGTAATGTCTACCTCCCAAATTACTCACCAGCTTCCTATTTAAGATCTATTCTAGAAAAAATAGAAGAAATAAAAGTAGGAAATGTAATACTAGCTGGAGACTTCAATGCGGTTATAGATCCACAAATAGAATAAAATGGTAGTTAAACAAGCTAAATCCTTAAAAAATATTAAAGACGAATTTAACCTGTTCGATATTTGAGGAATTCACAATCCAAATATAAGAGACTATACACACTTCTCTAAAGTTCACTTTTCCTACTCAAGGCTGGATATGATTTGGATAGACCCTAAACTTATTGATATGATTCAAAATGTAAATATAAAAGAAACAGTATGGACAGACCATAATGGAGTATTATGCGTAATAGATGCCAGAAAAAATATAAAAGAACCATATAGCTGGCGTTTAAATGATAGTTTGCTTTGTTCTGACGTGAATAAAAAACATATTGAAACAAATATAAGTAATTATTTCAAAGAAAATAGTACAGAAGATACTGATCCATCCACTTTGTGGTGTGCCTTTAAGGCAGTAATAAGAAGCCATTTTATTAAACTTCAAAGTCAAATTGATAAAAATACCAGCTTATCTCACCTCCATACTCAGTTAAGAAAGTTGATCCAAAGTAACAAACAAAATCCAACAGTTGAGAATTCTGAGAAAATATCAGTAATAAAGGATAATATAAATCAGAAATTAATGGAAAGAACGGTTAAAAGCTTAGACAGATTAAAATTAAAATATTATTCTAAAGGCAATAGAGCTGATAAATTGTTATCTCAAAAACTCAGAAAACAAAAGGGTCTAAATAAGGTGGATAGAATAATAAATAATGGAATAACAGCAGTAATTCCTAAAGATGTAGGACAGCAGTTTAACGACTTCTATAGCAAGCTATATAACATACCTCAAACTACGACAGTTGAAGATATAAAAAAATATTTTGAAAAAATGAATAAGTTTCAGTTAACAGAATCACAAAGAGAAGCAATAAATAAAGACTAGTGATGTCCCGAACGGTTCGCCGAACGGTTCGCGAACGGTTCTCAAACGGTTCGCCACGGACTCATCACTGAGTAAACTTTGACCCTGTACCTCACAGTCAGCAGACACATTCCAGCCAATCTGCAGCAGATCCTCCCTCCCAGACCCTCCCACCTCCTGGACAGCATCCATTTTACATTCATTTTGAAGCTGCATTCTTAGTGACCTGTCCAGGAGGTGGGAGGGTCTGGGAGGGAGGGTCTGCTGCTGATTGGCTGGAATGTGTCTGCTGACTGTGAGGTACAGGGTCAAAGTTTACTCAATGATGAGTCCGTGGCGAACCGTTCGCGAACTGTTCGGCGAACCGTTCGGGACATCACTAAAAAAGACATAACTATGGATGAAACAATGAAAGATATAAATAACTTGGAAGGGTTCAAAACCCCAGGTCCAGACGGATTTAGTAACTTATTCTATAAAACATTCAAAGACCTAATTTGCCCTCATATGACCAATACTTTCAATAGTGCAGCTAAGAGAGGACTCCTGTTGTGGATCAGAAATGTTGATCTTTGTTATATTCAGAGGAAGCCCAAATTGTTGTTACAAGTGCACTTGGAGAAGCGAGAATTAGACACCAGACACCTGTTGGTATTCAAAATAAGCCTCTGACGTTTTATTCATCAGCTGGGTTTTATACATTAAAAAGTAAGTGCTTACGTGCAAATACTCTTAGAACAGTAATAGGAAGAGAATACAGATAAGACATAGGGATGAGCGTCATGTACACATAACAAATAAGTTTCAAGGTAAGAGAGAACAAAATGATTAGAGCAGAGACATCTTAGGTGGGGGCTCTCTGCTCTCGGAACTTAGACATATATGGTCTTAAGTGTTGTTTAAGCATCAAGCATTTCCTGAGTCCAAGTTAGCCAATTTTAATATAGGATATCATTATATGACACCTATAAGCTTGAGCCTTGGAATCAAGATAAATTCTATCACAATCCCCTCTTTTGATCCAAGGGTCACCCAAATGTCCAAGGTATATCCAGGCCTGCTAGCCAAAGCCTGTGGGACTTTCATTTATTGCTTCACCACGGTTCCCTTGGACTGAGAGACCACCAGAATCAGCGGAGGAGAGTTCCTTCATTTGTTAGGCGAGGTAACATCATAAAACCTTTTCGAAGTTGGATCTGGAATGTAAATTAAGGTACGACCAATAGTAGGCTTGCTTTTACATAGAGAGGTTAGTAGACATGAAAAAAATCTAAAGGTTAGAAAAATAGCCATAATGACAAATATAGCTAACAGCAAAAAGTACAAAATCTTCTTAATTAGTAAAGTCAACCATGTTCCTAGCCCAAATGTCCAATCCCAATCCCCAAAGAAGCCAGTATCCTGTTTGATCTCCTGTACTAAGTCATGTAAATCTTTTATATGTTTATGGATCATAGTGCCATGGTCAGATAGGTTAAAACAGCACATACCTTCTATAGCTTCACAGCCTAAGTCATGTTTCATTAGTAAGTAGTCAATGGCTGCTCTATTCTCAAGGATTGCCTTCTTATTTGCCTGGCTGTCCATAAGTAGCTCTTCTAGGGCCTGTGAAGTGGCATTTAAACCTTTTGCAAGGGAACAAGCTACAGCATTTACTACTCGGGTATTATACAACGCTAAACCTGGGACTCCTACCAAGGTGTACGCTAGGGCAGAGTATTCGGCTTTAGATAAGAGAGTGATTTCTGGGTTACAATCTGCATTAAGGGTGTTTTTAACATCTCTCCTGTCTCTCAGCAGTTTGTGTAGCTGGGTGGTTTTAGTGATCAGGTCAGATTTGGAAAACATGGTCATGGTTAGGCGAGAGATTGCACAGGGACCTCCTGTAATGTTACCTGGGACATAAGCATAAGTAATATTTCCACAGGAGAAAGTCCATCCTTTAGGAAGATAGACATTGTAGTGGTAACTCATAACTTGGTGAGTTTTGGTACAATTCATAGTGGTGCTTAGGGCTCTACAATTCGTGGTATTTTTCCACCATGTGGGGCAAAACAGGGATTCAGTATTAGGGTCTCTTGAACAATTACATGAAAAAGACCAACATAGTTCAGCACCTGTCACATTAATTGTCTTCAGGGCTAGAGGAGGCTTGCCTACGAGTGGGTTGAAGGCATAAGAATATAGTTGTAGAGATTTATGGGGTCTATGGGTATGTAGGTACTTTCTTAACAGTGAGATGGGGGTAGGGACAGCTATAAGACAAGATTCTATGGCGTTTTCAGTACTGAGGAGAGGGTTGAGGCAAAAGGAAGTTAAATTAAAAGCCTTTGCTATCTGCAACCATATATTTTCCTGCCATGCATTATTATTTTCTGGTCTCAAGTCAGAGTAGCATATCTGAACACAGTATAAAATGGTAAAGGATAAGAACAGCTTCATGTTGGTGGATCAGTCGGAGTGACTTGTTTACAGTGACTGGCGTGTATCCACGTGGCTTTTCCTTCTAGTTTCACTGAGGTAGCCGTAGTCAAGAGCACTTGGAATGGACCGTCAAAGCGTGATTCAAGTCCTTTCCTCACATGCCTCTTTATCACCACCCAATCACCAGGTTGCAGTTTGTGAGTTGCAGAATCACAGTTAGGCACCCTGCCTAATCTTTGATGTAGGACCTGAACATAGGCAGTCATACTACCATGCTGCATCTGTAGTGTTTGGGGAAAATAGAGGCCTGTCTTTGGGGCACATCCAAACAGGATCTCAAAAGGGGATAAGCCATGTCTGGAATTGGGGGTGAATCTCATAGAAAAGAGTGCTAGGGGAAGGCATTCAGTCCAGGGCTTTCCTGTGTCTTGCATGGCTTTTGCAATCTTGTTCTTTAAGGTGCCATTTGCCCTTTCTACTTTCCCACTACTCTGGGGGTGATAGGGGGTGTGGAAGGCCTGACTGATCCCTAGGGCTTTCATAATTTCTTGCATTATTTCCCCAGTGAAATGGCTACCTCTGTCACTTTCAATCACTTCAGGTACTCCATTTCTACATACCAGTTCCTTCAGAAGCTTACTTGCTGTGACCTTCGCTGTGGCTTTCGACACTGGGTAGGCCTCAGGCCAACCTGAAAAGAGATCAATGCACACCAACACATATTCATACACTCCTACCTTAGGTAGTTGAATATAGTCTATCTGCAGTCTTTGAAACGGGTAAAGTGGCCTTGGTGTGTGCTTACTTGGTGTTTTCACAGCTTGTCCTGGATTGTGTCTAGCACAAATCATGCAAGCTTGGGTGTGTTTAGCTGCTACAACAGTAAATCCGGGTGCTACCCAATGGGTGTTTACTATGCTGTTCATGTGCATCTTGGAGAGATGTGTAGGTCCATGGGCAATCTGGGCCATCATGGGGTACAACACTCGTGGTAAACACAGTCTTTTACCTTTCCTCCACATTCTGTCATCATCAGGTTCTGCATCTTGTTTCCTCCAGAGGTCATGTTCTTCCTTGCTTGCCTGTCTTTGTAAGCTCAACAGTATATTGTAGTCAACGGCGTCATCTGTAAGAACAACTTGTAGAAAGGTATTACCTGTAGAGGGATGAACTTTGATTGCTGCTTGCTTGGCAGCTTTGTCTGCTTTGTGGTTTCCTCTTGAGATTTCATCTGTGATCTTCACGTGAGCTGCCACCTTGATGATGCCTACTTGAGTGGGTAGCAGGATAGTATCCATAAGTGCACTCACGGCTTCAGAATTCTTGATTGGAGTTCCTGCTGAGGTGAGAAAATCACGAGCCCGCCATATAGGGCCAAAATCATGGGCTATACCAAAAGCATAGCGAGAGTCTGTATAAATATTAGCAGTCTTACCAGAAGCCATTTTACACGCTTCAGCGAGTGCCTTCAGCTCTGCCTCCTGTGCAGAGCAGTGAGGAGCGAGTGGTTCAGCTTTTATTACCTCATGTGCAGAGACTACAGCATATCCAGTGTGGAAATTACCCTTCTCATCAGCATATCTGGAACCATCTACAAAAAACTCAAAATCTGCATTAGATAATGGAGAATCAAATACATGCAAAAAACCTGCTGTCTCTTGTGCCATTAGTGCTGCACAATCATGGGGTACCTGGGCATCAGCTAACTCATCTGGTGAAAGTGAATTTACAAAAAGATCAGAAGTACAACTATTCACACTATCCCCACTCCCCTCTTTTAAATCCAGGGGAAGCAATGTAGATGGATTTAACACCATACACCTTTTAAGAGTAACATTAGGTGGCATAAGCAAGGCACATTGCATTCTGAGATGCCTTGCAGTATGTATGTGTTTTGGTTGAACTCGTGAGAGTATGCTGTTGATATCATGCGGTGTGTATATGGTCACAGGATTATCTAAAACAATATCAGTGGCTTTGTCCAGGAGGGCAGTAACAGCCGCCACTGCCCTAACACATGAGGGGGCACCCCTGGCAACAGGGTCCAATCTGGTGGAGTAGTATGCTATTGGTCTTTGTTTACCACCATGATCCTGTGTAAGGACAGATGTAGCATAACCTGATTGCTCAGTACAGAACAGGTTAAAATTCTTTCTGTAATCTGGGAGACCCAGTGCCGGAGCTGACGTTACCAGTATGTTAAGTGTATAGAAGGCATTTTCTGCCGCATGGGTTAATTTAAATGGTCTGTTTTCGTTGGCAAGACAATCATACAGTGGTTGCATGTAGATAGCTATGGAACGCAGTAAGAAATCAAACCGAGGAAAGTACGAACCTGGGCTAAACTGCGGGGGGGTCTAATATTTTGAACTGCAGTTTTTCTACTTTCCGTGAGATGTTTTATGCCCTGGGAAATGCAATGTCCTAGGAAAATAACTTTCTCTACACATGCTTGCAGTTTCGTTTTTGTTGCTTTACAGCCTGCTTTTTCTAGGAATTTTAGTAAGGAAAGAGTGTTTACAATACAAGATTCCATATTATCGCAACATAGGAGTAGGTCATCGATATACTGCAATAAAATTACGTTATTTAGCCTTTGCCATTCTTCAAGAATCTGGGCTATAACCATGCTGTACATAGTGGGTGAGTTTTGTGCACCCTGTGTGTAATATTTATTTTGTAATACTTCTTTAATTGGAACTCAACTGCAGAATTTCCTGGTTGCAGCAACAATAAGTTTCACCTCCTTTTATATTGATATGAAACAATGGTCACTGTACCTTTAAATACACATGAAGGAAAAATTAGGCTTTGTAGCAATCCCTTATGAATAAGAGGAATAATTAGACAAAGTGACACTTTAGTGAGTTTTAGATACTGTGTAACATAAATAATAGGAATTGGCTTGTTTGGTAAAAGTATTACTTAACTTAAAGGCAGTTCTGGCACTGGAAGGGTTAATTCACCCAATGAAGGAGAAATTAGAAGTCCGTTTCAACAAGCTGAGAACTAGGAGTGGAGAGTGGGGAAGTCCGTTTTAACAAGCCGAGGTCTGGGAGTGGAGAAGGTAGAATTCAGAGTTACAAGCCGAGGTCTAGGAGTGGAGAAGGTAGAAATCCGTTTACAAGCCGAGGTCGAGAAGTGGAGAAGGTAGAAATCCGTTTACTACTAGCCGAGGTCTAGAAGTGGAGCAGGTAGGATCAAAAGTAGAGCAGCTGATCTTTCTGCAGCACCTGTGCGAATAATCCAGCCCTTTGAATCTGGCGCGGTCTTCCTAAGTATCGTGGAGGGACCGCGTCAGAAAAAAGGGCGGGGCTGAGCGCCGTGAACCCGGAAGTGGGTTCCGGCGACGAAATACATGCCATGCTATACCTGACAGTACCCCCTTCTCATGGGGCATCCTCTGGGTGCACTATTTCGGTTTGGAGGGGTAGCGTTTGTGAAAGGCAGTAACTAACCTCCTAGCATGTACATTAGATGAATCTTCCCAAGTGTCTTCATCAACTCCATAACCTTTCCATCTGATAAGGTATTGTAAGGAGCCACGGTGGACACGAGAATCCAAAATTTTGTGAATTTCATATTCTTCTTCACCTTGGACGATGATAGGTTCAGGAGTTGTTACTATTTCTCTATGGAAAGGATCAGGGATGTGTGGTTTAAGCAAAGAGACATGGAATACTGGATGAAGTTTAAAACTTGGAGGAAGTTTTAGTTTAACAACGTTATCATTAATGGTAGTAATTACTTGAAAGGGACCAAGAAAAAGAGAGCTCAATTTCTTTGAAGGACGGCTTGTGGTAATATTCCTTGAAGAGAGCCAGACAAGATCCCCTACCTTGTAAGGAGGGGGAATTCTTCTATTATTGTCAAAAAACTTTTTCTGGTTATTTTGGGCGAGTTGAAGATTCTCCCGTAATTTGAGAAATAGAGAAGACATAAATTCGTTTTTTGATGTAACAGTAGGATTGGATGAAGTAATGGTTTGGATGGGGAATGAAGACGGATGAAAACCATAGTTGGAGAAGAAAGGAGTCATTTTCGTACTAGAATGAATGGTATTATTGTAAGAAAATTCGGCCATAGGTAACCATGTGGTCCAGTCATCTTGGAGGTATGAACAATAACATCGAAGATATTGTTCCAAACATTGATTAACCCTTTCTGTTTGCCCATTAGTTTGGGGATGATAAGCGGAAGAGAGTTTGCGTTGAATTTGAAGGGAGAGACACATCTCTTTCCAGAATTTGGAGGTAAATTGTGTCCCCCTATCAGAAATAATTTCTTCAGGAAGACCATGAAGTTTCACAATATTGTCAATAAAGACCTTAGACAATTCTACAGAGGAGGGTAATTTTTTTAAGGAAATGAAATGGGACATTTTTGTGAAGCGATCCACAACGACAAGAATAGTGGTGAAATGTTGAGAAGGTGGAAGATCAACGATAAAATCCATAGAAATGGATTGCCAAGGTTTTTCTGGAATAGGTAAGTTAAGTAGTAATCCAAAAGGTTGATTATGTTCTGGTTTAGACCTTTGACAGATAGGACATGTTTTGACATATAATTCAATGGTTCTATCCTGGCGAGGCCACCAATAATATCGTGAAGTTAGTTCAAGTGTTTTCTTTATTCCAGGATGTCCAGCTAGGGGTGAATCATGAACCATCTTAAGTAATTTATTCCTAAGAATGGGAGGAATATAAATTCTATTTTTAAAATAAAATATACCATCCTTTTTTGTTAGTATAGGTGTTTTGGGAAGTTCAAGATCCTTCTGATTCAAATTCTTTATGTCATCATGAAGAGAAGAGAGGATCCCTATTATTTTGTTAGGAGGATAATCATCAGTAGTAGTTTTAGAAGGAATTCGAGAAAGAGCGTCAGCCTTTTTATTTCTAGTTCCAGGTCTGTATATTAATTGGAAGTTAAATCGGTTAAAAAATAGGTTCCATCTAACTTGTCTAGCTGTAAGGGTTTTGTTAGTATAGAGATATTCAAGATTTTTATGGTCAGTATAAACTATTATAGGTTGTTTTGTATCTTCCAGAAGATGACGCCAATTTTCGAAGGCAGCTTTAACACTTAATAATTCTTTTTCACCAATAGGATAATTTTTTTCAGCAGAGCTCAAGGATCTTGAAAAAAAGGCAACTGGATGAAGTGGATCTTGTGGAGTCTTTTGTTGAGAAAGAACTGCTCCGATGGCTGCATCTGATGCATCAACTTCAAGAACATATAAGAATGTTGGATTAGGTAGTTGTAGAATAGGTGCAGTTGTAAATCTTTTTTTTAATTCGTCGAAGGCTGTTTGTGCATCTTTATTCCAATTGAAAGGACGTTTACTACTGTTGAGGAGGTTAAGAGGATGTGATACATCCGAATAGTTTCTAATAAATTTTCTATAGAAGTTTGCAAATCCAAGAAAACGTTGTAATTCTTTTGTAGTAGTAGGAGCGGGCCAGTCAATAATACATTTGATTTTGGAATTATCCATCTTCAAAGAATGAGGTGAAATAATGTATCCTAGAAAAGAGAATTCAGTAACCTCAAAAAGGCATTTTTCTGGTTTAGCGTATAATTTATGAGTTCTCAGTCTAGATAGAACCCATCTAACATGCTTCCTATGTTCATCCAAATTGTTAGAATATATTAAGATATCATCTAAGTAGATAATAACACATATATCCAGAAGATCTCTAAAGATATCATTTATAAAATGTTGAAATGTTGCAGGGGCATTACAGAGCCCAAAAGGCATCACTAGATATTCGTAGAGACCATATCTTGTCCGGAAGGCGGTTTTCCATTCATCATCCTGTTTTATTCTAATGAGGTTATATGCGCCTCGAAGGTCGAGTTTAGTGAATATAGTTGCAGTTCTTAACCTTTCAATTAATTCATTTATTAGTGGAAGAGGATAACGATTTTTAATAGTTATTTTATTTAAGGCTCTGTAATCTATAATAGGACGGATGGTTTGGTCTTTATTCTTCACAAAGAAAATACTAGAAGCAGCTGGGGAGGTCGAGGGTCTGATGAACCCTTTGCGTAAATTTTCATTAAGATATTCTTTTAAAATTTCTAACTCCTTTTCAGAGAGTGGATAAATATGACCATAAGGAATAGGAGCTCCGGGTATGAGATCTATTGGGCAATCATATACCCGATGAGGAGGAAGTGTTTCCGCTTCTTTTTACAAAAGACATCTGCAAAATCGGAGTAGAATGGAGGTATAACTGGTTCTACAGTAGTTTGGAGAATAGGAATGTGTTGTAAGCACGTTTTTTTACAGAAATCAGAAGCAAAGGAGATGGAGAAGGGAGACCACTTAATTAAAGGATCATGGGTTTTTAACCAATTAATTCCTAGAATGACGGGATAAAGTGGAGATTTAATAATATCAAATGTAATGAATTCGAAATGTACGTTGTTGGTAATCATTCTTAGAGGGATTGTCTCATCTTTGATGGGTCCTGAGGATATAAATGAACCGTCAATAACTCTGATTGGAATAAAGTTAGTTTTTTGAACACAAGGAATTTTATTTTTTGAAACAAAAGAAAAATCAAGAAAAGTTCCATTAGCACCAGAATCAATGATGGCCTCAGTCACGATTCTTTTTGTATCCCACTGTAATATGAGAGATATAGAAAAATAAGTAGATGCTTTTCTTTTTTGAAAAACGTTCAATATAGAGGTAGATGAATGAAGCTTACCACCTTTTGAATGTTTCAGTAGAGGACATTCGGAAATTAGATGTTCGTTCGAAGCACAATACATACATAAGTTTAGTTGTCTCCTTCTTATTCTTTCTTCAGAAGTAAGAGGACTTTTTATTATACCTACTTCCATAGGTTCAGTTTGTGGAGGAATTTTTTCAGGTAGTTTTAGAGTAGTGAAAGGTTTTCTCCAGGTAGAATTAGTAAGAACCCTTTCAGCTTTTCTTTCTCTTAGACGTCTATCAATACTGATGGACAGTTGAATCAATGCATTTAAGGTAGGAGGAAGTTCTGTACGAGAGAGTTCATCTTTCACAGCTTCAGATAATCCGAGACGGAATTGATTGCGTAAAGTAATGTCATTCCATTGGGTTTCTGTAGCCCATCTTTTGAATTCTGCAATATAATCTTCAACAGGTCTATTCTTTTGGTGTAATGTTCTGATGGTTAAATCAGCAGTAGTTTGTTTAAAAGGATCTTCATATAATAAAGACATAGCTTTAAAGAACTCATCCAATGAATCTAATATGGGATCATCATTTTCCAAAAAGGAATGGGCCCAGGCCATAGGTTCACCTCTTAAAAAAGAGATCACTGAACAGACTTTGGATCTTTCGGTGGGATAAGATCTAGGTTTTAAAGCTATTAGTAGTTTGCAAGAATTCAAAAACTCTCTGTACTTTGTTCTATCTCCATAAAATTTTTCTGGATTACAGACAGCAGGATCACCAGCCGATTGAAGAGCGGCATGAGGAAGATGACCTTGAATGTCTCTAACATAGGTTAATATTCTCTCATTTGTAATTTGCAGTTCCTGTAACCCTTGAGCAATCGTATCCACTCTATTGGTTAGGGCAGAAACTTGAGAGTTGATATCTGTTGGTTCCATTGAATACGGCTGGATTATTCTGTAATATTTATTTTGTAATACTTCTTTAATTGGAACTCAACTGCAGAATTTCCTGGTTGCAGCAACAATAAGTTTCACCTCCTTTTATATTGATATGAAACAATGGTCACTGTACCTTTAAATACACATGAAGGAAAAATTAGGCTTTGTAGCAATCCCTTATGAATAAGAGGAATAATTAGACAAAGTGACACTTTAGTGAGTTTTAGATACTGTGTAACATAAATAATAGGAATTGGCTTGTTTGGTAAAAGTATTACTTAACTTAAAGGCAGTTCTGGCACTGGAAGGGTTAATTCACCCAATGAAGGAGAAATTAGAAGTCCGTTTCAACAAGCTGAGAACTAGGAGTGGAGAGTGGGGAAGTCCGTTTTAACAAGCCGAGGTCTGGAAGTGGAGAAGGTAGAATTCAGAGTTACAAGCCGAGGTCTAGGAGTGGAGAAGGTAGAAATCCGTTTACAAGCCGAGGTCGAGAAGTGGAGAAGGTAGAAATCCGTTTACTAGCCGAGGTCTAGAAGTGGAGCAGGTAGGATCAAAAGTAGAGCAGCTGATCTTTCTGCAGCACCTGTGCGAATAATCCAGCCCTTTGAATCTGGCGCGGTCTTCCTAAGTATCGTGGAGGGACCGCGTCAGAAAAAAGGGCGGGGCTGAGCGCCGTGAACCCGGAAGTGGGTTCCGGCGACGAAATACATGCCATGCTATACCTGACACTGTGGCAATACTGTCCAAGTGTACTGCTTGTGTTTATGTGTAAATGCAAATAAAAACTGACTGTCGGGAGCCAGGGGGACACTGAAAAATGCATTTGCCAAGTCAATAACAGTAAATACCTTAGAGGAAGGTGGTATTTGTGCCAACAAGGTGTGTGGGTTGGGAACATTAGGGGCAATGAGTTCAGTTACAGCATTAATTGCCCTCAAATCATGTACCATACGGTAGACCACAGGTTTCCCTTTCTCTTGCTTTTTCTTAATTGGGTACAATGGTGTGTTACAAGGGGAGGTGGTCTGGACAACTACCCCTGCCTGCAGAAACTCTTGCACAGATTGCAAATAGCATCTTCCTGTGCTGGGCTTAGGGGGTATTGTTTTTGATAGGGAGGTTTGGCTCCGGGCAGGAGATTCACTTTGACTGGGGGCACAGAGAGTCTGCCTGTATCTGTCTTCCCTGTAGCCCATAAGGAATCAGGGACTGAGGACAAGTCAATGGAAGGTTCTGGCACATGGCTGGGCATAGTGAGAGTTGCCAGAACATTTGAAAGAGATATCATTTGTTTGTCCTCTAAAGGCACAGACAATGTTACTTTTCCAGTGGGGCTATACTGGATATTTGCACTAAGAGCAGACAGTATATCACTGCCTAGTAGATTAGCAGGGGCATGAGGGCTGACAAGTAGCCTTGTTACAAGGGCAGTAGAGTCATGTAGCTTCAATTTCAACTTGTGGGTCAGGGGAATGTCATTTTCAATACCATCTACCCCTACACATGATAATACATAATTAGATTACTCATACGGGAATACATATTTTTCCTGTAACATTGATTTAGCAGCGCCAGTGTCCAACAGGAAAGGGACTATTCGGTCCCCAGGCAGTGTAACATTGATAATGGGTGAGGGTCCTGCAGAGTCAGGGATATTGATGATATGTAGGGACACTGGTTTGCCAATTTCCTATTGGGGGGGGGGAGGTGGTGGTGGTGGTGGCTGTCATGGGAGTTATCATTAGAATCTTGGGGTTTTCTATTTTTAGGAGGACACCTGCAGTTACGTTTAATGTGTCCTTTCCTGCCACAATTCCAGCAGTCTACCTGCCTTCTGTCCCCATCAGCTCTAGGGACAGTTACAGCCATTAGAGGTGTGCTCCTCTTTCTAGTATTTAGATTAGCTTCCACTCCCCTAGCCACCTTCACCAGATCACCATAGGTTAAACTTCTCCACTCAGGTCTAGCATTTTGGAGACCAGTCCTTATGGGTACGTGGATACCATCCATGAAGCAGTTAATAAGCAGTCTGGTGGAAGTGGTTACAACATCAGTGTAACCTAATGCCTCCCAAGCCATTTGTAGTCTGGTGAAGAATGTTTCTACAGATTCATCTTTCCCTTGTAGTATGTCTCCTAATTTATGGGCTTGTTCTTCTGTCTTTACCTTAGCCCATTCTCTCATTGCAGTGACATAGCATGCTCCAGATGCAGACTTGGTTCTAAACCATTCATCTGTTTGCATGTTGCTTTTTCTGAGGTTATCTTCATGGGCATCTGTATATTTAGCAATTATTCTAGCCAAAATGGGACCAGCTTTTAGTGCCACAATCTGTTTTAAATCCATCCAAGTACACTGGTAAGTAGCTTGAATTGTGGACAGAGACTGGACTAGAGCTAAGGGGGCCTTTTCAACATCTGGCAGCTGCTGTATTATTGCCAGTTGTTTACTGGGTGTCCAGGGCTTATATTCTTCCCAGTATTGGATACCTGAGCTCGGCTGTCTGTGCTCATGGTATACACTCTCAACTTTGGGTATCATTGGAGTAGAAAATTGTGGAGCTAATGGCCCCACTGGGGTATCTGTGGGGGCAACTAGGGGTTCCTTTAAGTCTGGACTACCTTCCTGCTCTAATGAACCCATAGGTCTTACTGGGACACCATATGAAGTCTCACTTCGTAATATTACTGGAAAGAGAGGTTTTGATCTCTGTAAAAGGGTTGTCTTTTGGGACCAAAGGAGTCCCTGCAGTATCCTGGTAAAAGGATGGGTTTACAAGATTTTTCCTAGGAGCTTGCCTACTCTGGGACCCTAGAGGTCCAAAACATTGATAATATGGTACACCTTTCCTGGTGGTTTCTCTACAACCACATTTAGTTAATTCAACAGCAGTATCATGCCATTTTTGTGCGACTTCTACTAAATCATTATCTTCTAACCAACCTCTGTAATTTGCCATAAATTCACTCCATATATGTGGGTCTAGAGTGCCTTCTGAGGGCATGCCAGCTTTCTTAAGTAACCTCTTAACATTCTTAATTGCTCCTTGTCCTTTGTGATGCTTGACAATAGTCAAAGCCGTAAATCCCCCTTGGGTACTTTCAGAGCTACCCATCTTAAAACTTGTAAGGGTTAATTACTTCCTTACACAAGACAAACTGTACAAAAACAGTGTATTTAAACACTTAGGACTGCTGCAGTGGAATTTTCACAGTTTTTTGTCTTCTAAACACAGATCAGAAATGTTGATCTTTGTTATATTCAGAGGAAGCCCAAATTGTTGTTAGAAGTGCACTTGGAGAAGCGAGAATTAGACACCAGACACCTGTTGGTATTCAAAATAAGCCTCTGACGTTTTATTCATCAGCTGGATTTTATACATTAAAAAGTAAGTGCTTATGTGCAAATACTCTTAGAACAGTAATAGGAAGAGAATACAGATAAGATATTGGGATGAGCGTCATGTACACATAACAAATAAGTTTCAAGGTAAGAGAGAACAAAATGATTAGAGCAGAGACATCTTAGGTGGGGGCTCTCTGCTCTCGGAACTTAGACATATATGGTCTTAAGTGTTGTTTAAGCATCAAGCATTTCCTGAGTCCAAGTTAGCCAATTTTAATATAGGATATCATTATATGACACCTATAAGCTTGAGCCTTGGAATCAAGATAAATTCTATCACACTCCTCCCAGCAGAGATGTTAAAAGCTTACATCTTACCAATTCTAAAACAAAATAAAAATCCTACTGACGTTAAGAATTAACATTTTAGATGACGCTAAAAGAAATAAGGTCCCAGTTTTGGCTCTGTCGATTGATGCTGAAAAAGCATTTGACAGAGTCAACTGGAGTTATCCAGATGTTGCACTGTCACATTACGGCCTTGACGACTGGATTAAGAAAGCCATTATGGCCCTTTATGTAAATCCATTGGCATGCACTAAAGGACCAAACATCACTGCCCCATGGTTCCAAATGAAAAATGGGACATGACTGGGGTGTCCGCTTTCACCACTATTGTATTTGCTCTCTATTGAACCACTAGCTGAGAAAATTAGAAGTAACAAAAAGATTAATGGCTATAAAATATTAGATGTAGAACAGAAATTAAGTTTATATGCTGACATTCTAATCACTATAACCAATCCTGATACTTCATTGGGATTTTAAATGTCAGAAATCGACAGCTATAGTTAAATATCTAATTATAAATTAAATATAAATAAATCTATGATTTTGGATATCAGTTTGTATAAGCAAACTCAAAATAAGATTAAAGATAGATATAATTTTTCATGGGTTGAAAATAGTATGGACTACTTGGGGGTTAAATTGACTAGAGATGTAAAAAGAATTAGGGAGATACATTTTTTAGATTTATTACAAAATCTCAATAAATGGTTAAAAAAATCAAAGGAATTTAGAAGTATCTTTCTGGGGAACAATAAACGTGGTTAATTCATATATTATTCCAAAATGGAACTATATGTTCCAAATGCTGCCATTATAATTGGTTGGAGCTGATACAGAAAGGTTTCACCCAATAAATTTGGAAAGGTAAGAAACCAAGACTGAGTCAGTCAATATTAATACAAAAATTAAGCAGAGGAGGATTAGCCTATCCTTTAATATCAAATAATTATAGAGCAGCTACAATTTTACACATTTACAGGATGCAAATAGAAGATAACAAAAACGAAGGATGGTATAAAATGGAACTTACTGCAGGAGGAGTCCCTAGTTTGGACTGTTTAATTTGGAACACTACTAAATCCCCTCCAAAAAAAGAGTACTCCAACACAATTTTAACACATTTAATGAATAGCTGGTTTAAAATAAAAAAATTATTACAAATTGAAAAGAAAGTTCCAAGCTACTTAGAGCTGAATTTTGTTGAACAACAAGTTGCAGACATAAACCTTAACAATTGGAAACAGGCAGGAATTGCACGGTTGTCTCAGCTATTTGTAGAAGGTAGAATTAAAACCTTTGTTCAATTAATACAGGAATATAGCTTACTATCAAAAGAGCTGTTTAATTTTTTGAGACTTAAAAGCTTTTTGACGACACATTTAATTGTATCAAAATCTAGTTCAAACAACATGATAAATATATTATTTAATTCAGATAAAATAAACAAAGCTTTGCTATTAAGTAAAATGTGTAATAAAGTAAAAACACCAACAGCTATAGCTGCTTGGAAAGAAGAATTAAATATAGATATAAATATCAAGTACTGGGGTTCTTCACTGACAGAAGTTTCGAAGGATATACACTCGCTAAATTTATTAGAAACCCATTTTAAGGTTCTAAACAGATGGTACTTAGTACCAGATAAATTGAATAAAATGTACCCCACAATAAACCATCTATGTTGGAGATGTGGCATAGCTACAGGTACTTTTAGGCATATTTGGTGGTTGTGCAACAAATTGAATAACTTGTGGTCTAATATCCAAAGGTTTGTGTCCGCAGATTTGAACCTTGAGTTGAGGCTCTCTCCAGAGGTCGTCCTGCTTCATCTAAACTGGCTGGTAATGGCGTATGAGTCGAAAATTATTCTTATTCATGTCTTTTTAGCTGCCAAAATTGTGATTGCGAGAAGTTGGAAAAATGATAGGGACGTCCCTTGATATCAAGTCAGAGCCCAGCTTAAGTTTCAGATTAAAATGGAACTGATGTTGAACAAATAAAAATCAAGTAAAAAAGCAACTGTTTGGACGAAATGTTGGGAGAGGATTAATAAATAGAGCTTTCAGCAAACAAAAATTTTAGAAGAAAGAAAACATCAAATGGTAAGTTTATTTTTTTTTTCAGGTACTTAGTTAAATGGCCCCCCTCATTATTTTTAGGGTGAGGGGGGTAGGTCGGGGTTAATTGTTTTGGGGAGAGGGGTGACTAGGGGTTTGGGGACCCCTAGTCACCCGGGGGAGGAGGTTTTTTTTTTATTTAGGGCCCCCACCCACCACTCAGGGGTGGGGGCCAGGGGGGAGGATATTAAGTCCCCCCCTAATTAGTATTTAGGGACCCCAACCACCGCTCAGGGGTGGGGGCCAGGGAGGAGGACATTAGGTCCTCCCCCTCATTCTAATTTAGGGCCCCCACCCACCGCTCAGGCTGCTCCCTGTTTAATAGACATGCCCCTACTCGCGGTATAGCGAGTAGGGGCATAATTTACTAATACTAAGTAATAAAATAATCAAAATAGGATCAGCGCTAAAAATGCCACAAAAAATATTTAGTAAAATAGTTAAAAGGCAGCACACCTATAAAGGGGGTACCCTCCTATCCCCTATAGTTAGATAAAGAACGGAAAAAATCAAAGGAAATAGGGCACGCCTTTAATAAAAATACATAAATATATAACTAAAATGGTGTGTATATATGAATGAAAATAAAAATATATAAATATTGAATGGAATGAAAATAAAAAGATATAAATATTGAATGGATTAAAAGAGTCCAAATTTATAGTCCACAAATAAATGAAGAGTGTTCTTTGTAGCGCAGTATAGTCTCTTCCCAGGTGATGACTTGTATTTTTCAATGGGCCATATGTGGAGAGAAATAAAACGACAACCAATGGTACAGTATGTAGTTATAGAGGAATATTTATGCAATAAATTGGAATTACTCACAATTTCCAGAGCTAAAATCCAGCTCTGGTATGGAATGCGTGAAGTGGAATGATCCCCACTCAAGGATGTATGGAGCAGTGACTTGTGGAATAAGTAGTCCACCGAGGATTCCGACCGAAAATTAAAACAGATAAAAATATATAGTGCTCACTGTATGATATAGATTTAAAAAAGGAGGTATGAAATGTACTTACAAAGTATTGAGCATTCTTCTCTGCTCAATTTTTAGCATATGGGTGGTATGATCCCCACCTAAGGATTTTCCTTAAATTCGTATTGGCTCAGGTTAGTCAGGTACAGAAATAAAATTAAATAAAAATAGGAATGTGGCAGTAAAAAGTTTGAGGCCCAAACTGTTGGAACACATGCCAAGGTACAGTTTCGGAACCCATCAGGCAGCAGGTGTGAAGTTTTTTTTATCTTTTCTTTTTTACTTTTTTGTTTTGTGAATATTACTCAATGCATGTTACCTTTGAGTATTGCCCATGACATATCAAGCAGGTATATGTACTGGCTTGAGTGTGATTTTAGCAAACCCAGAGCTCCTTTGTATTGTATTGTAGGCTTTATGTACACTCTCAACTGTATTTCTCTAAAATTAATGTCAGGGTTTACACTTTTTTTCTAGCTAACCTGTGTTGAGGAATCTTATTAGTATAGTTCACATGTCTGCTGTGGCTTGACTTAATGTGCTGTAGTGTACGCTCCAACATTAATATTCTGTGCAACGACATGTACCCATTACTACATTTCTTTGTTTTTATTTTACTGCATTATAGTGGGAGGCATGACACTTTTCCTCTCAAAGGATTTCACATTGTACTATTATCCTCGTGGACGCTGTTATCGATCTTATTATTGAATGTACCTCACTGACGAGGCCAAACAAAAGGCCTAAGCAATCGTCTGGGGTTTCTGAAGTTCTCGTGCAGAGGGAACTTGCTGGCATTTCGGATCTGGACTGTCCGTACAGGGGGGACCTGTCTGGTATGCTTCAGATATGTTCTCTCTGTAATGGCACAAGTGATTAAAAACTATTTTGAGACCTGAGCGGGATGTACCAAAGGGCAAGCTATTGAGTCTCTCTAAGCTTTTGCCCGTTCTTAGAGTTCTCATCCTTTCTTTTTTATTATGGTATGTCTTTGCTCCAATAAAGCTTTGAATTACAAAAAAAATGATACAAACAATAGCTTTTGCTCTAGTGACAACTAGATGTTTACAGAAATAGCCACTAGTTTATTGTAGTCTTCCAAAACACAACAAGCTAACCTACAGTCCCAAAAACCACAGATCTATTCTGTATTATTTTATCTACCTTATTTTGTCCTTTTTGTTTTCTAAGTTTTTGGGATAGCATCTTTTCAGCTCGATTACCTTTAGAGTAATATTTAAGTTTCAATCTATCCATATTTTTGGCTATCGTATCCATTAATTTTTGCTTTATTTTTTCTTTAAGTTCTAATATTTTATCATGAATTTCAGGAGATGGAGATTGTTTATTAATATGAGTCATGTTTCTTAATTCTGTATATAGATATGCCTGGGTATTATTTTTATCAAGCTGACTTTGTAGCTTGATAATATGACCTCTTATAACAGCCTTAAAGGCACACCACAAAATAGTTGGATCAATATTTTCTGAGATATTTTCTTTAAAGTAGTTTTTTATATTATTTCCTATATAAGTTTTATTTGGTTCATGGAAAAATAGCATTAACCCCTAGAGAGATTGGAAAGTGTTTTAATGAATATTATGCCAATTTATATAATATACCTCAAATCAATACAGATGAGGATATAAAAAATTATCTAAATAATATAAAGAAGTTTCAACTAACACCCATTGAAAACGAACTTTTGAATAAACCTATAACTCAGGAGGAGATTATGAAAGCAATAAATGATTTAGAAAGAATTAAAACACCAGGCCCGGATGGGTTTAGTAACCTTTTTTATAAAACATTTAAAGATTTAATATGCCCACATTTGACCTCTGCTTTTAACATAGCGGCAAACAGAGGATTTTTACCAGCAGAAATGCTTAAAGCTAATATTTTGCCTATTTTGAAAAATGATAAAAACCCCACTGATATCAAAAATTATCGTCCGATATCTTTAATAGATGTAGACACTAAGTTATATGCTTCGGTTTTGGCTGCTAGAATAAAAAAACTTCTTCCATTGATTATCCATAAAGTTCAAATAGGATATGTACCAGGCAGAAACTCCTATACAAGTATAAGGAAAATTATTAATATCCTGGATGATGCAAATAGAAAAGATGTTCCAGTTCTGACTCTGTCGATTGATGCTGAAAAAGCATTCGACAGAGTCAGCTGGAAATACTTAGAAGCCGTTTTAATACACTATGGATTGGAAGGTTGGATTAAGAAAGCCATAATGGCGTTATATGTAAACCCAGTTGCACGGACTATTGGATCTAATATTGTCGCCCCATGGTTCCAACTTAGAAATGGCACTCGGCAGGGTTGTCCCCTCTCACCATTACTTTACCTGCTGACTATTGAGCCATTGGCTGAGAATATTAGAAATAATAAAGAGATTTATGGTTATAAAATAATGGATGAGGATCAAAAAATCAGTTTATATGCTGACGACATTTTAATTACTCTCACAAACCCTAAAAATTCTTTAGACTATATAATGCAAGAAATAGAGCGATATAGTCTTATATCAAATTATAAGTTAAATACAAATAAATCTCTGTTATTAGATTTTAACCTTGATAAAAAGATGCAACAAGAGATTAAAAATAAATATGATTTTATTTGGGTTAAAGAAAGTATGGATTACTTAGGAATAAAAATAACTAGAGAGATAAATAAGATTATGGAAGTAAATTTCTTAACATTATTATTAGACCTTAATAAATGGTTAAAAGATCGCAGAAATCTAGAGATTACTTTTTGGGGACGAATAAATGTTATTAATTCATATGTTATACCAAAATGGAACTATATGTTTCAAATGTTACCTCTCCATATCCCAATCCATTGGCTTCAATTAATACAAAGAAGTTTTACTCAATACATTTGGAAAGGCAAGAAGCCAAGATTGAAGCAGTCAATATTAGTGCAGAAAATACATAAAGGTGGACTTGACTATCCATTTATAATGAATAATTTCAAAGCAGCTACTATCCTACATGTGTATAGAATGCAAATTAAAGAAAATAAAGATGAGGGATGGTATAAAATGGAAATGAAGGCAGGAGAAGTCTCTAGCTTAGACTGTTTAATTTGGAATATAAACAAAATGTCAAAGAAAAAAGAGTACACTAGTATCATTTTAACTCAATTATTAGAAAACTGGTTAAAAATTAAAAAAGCAATGAATATAGAAAAAAAAAGTCCCAAGTTACTTAGAGTTAGACACTGTAGAAAAACAAGTGGAAAATGTAAATTTAAATAATTGGAAAAAAGAAGGGATAAAGACTTTGGACCAATTATTGATAGAAGGATCAATCAAAACTTTTGCTCAAATAACAGGGGTATATAATCTCCCGCCTAGAGAGATGTTTAATTTTTTAAGACTTAAAAGTTACATGAATATACACCTTATAATACCAAAATCTAATTTGAGTAATTTGACAGATTTATTATTTACGTCAAAAAAAATCAATAAACCACTTTCTAAAGCTTTGATATTAATCAAATCAATGGCCAAAGATACAAACCCTACTGCCATACAGGTTTGGAAACAAGAACTGGACATTGATATTAATTTGAATCAATGGGGTTCTTCAATGATGGATGTTAAGAAAAATATACATTCATTAAATTTATTAGAAACTCACTTTAAAGTTTTAAACAGGTGGTACTTAGTACCAGCTAAATTGAATAAAATTTATCCTTTAACTAATCCTATCTGTTGGAGATGTAATAGTATTAGAGGCAATTTTAGACATATTTGGTGGGATTGCCATAAATTAAAGAATCTCTGGTTAAAAATACAGCATTTTATATCTAATAATTTAAAACTCGAGTTGACAATTTCTCCAGAGGTAGTTCTGTTACATCTAAATTGGCCTCATATGACATATGAGTTAAAAGCAATTCTTATACATCTTTTTTTAGCTGCTAAAATAGTAATTGCGAGATGGTGGAAAAAGGATTTAGAAGTCCCCTGGAAGAAAGTTAAAATTCAACTCGAGTTTCAGATTAAAATGGAGTTGATGCTAAGCAAACAAAGACTAAGTAATAAGGTTTCTGTTTGGTCAAAATGTATTGAGATGATTGGTGTAGAAAATAATGCTGATCAATTAGAAGTAGAGTAATCCCATGAACATTGTAAATAATTATGAGATTTATCTAAATGATTTTACCACTCAATTATGGAAATTTTTTCCTGATGTATTTTTCTTTCCCTCCCCTATTCTGCTGCTATGTCGTTTGTGTATTGTAAATTTGTATGATATATGTATTTGTATGATATATGTATTTAACCCCTTAAGACCGTAGGGCGTACTATTACGCCCTCTAATAGGCGGCTCTAAACGCCGCCGGGCGTAATAGTACGCCCTCCGGTCTTTCTGTACTTACCCGGTCGCCGGCGGTCCCACGCCGGCGATCGCGGTGGGGGGGACTCCCAGGGAGCCCCCCGCGGCACGACCGTCCTCCAGGAAGCCCCCCGGCCGTGTGAGAGTGGGGTCCTAGCGAGGACCCCACAATCACATGGCCGGGTATAGCTGGCTTCTGTATTGCCAGCAGGGGGGCTGCCTGTAATTACAGGGGGTCCCCCTGCTGGCTGAAAATAAAAGTAAAATAAGTTAAAAGTGTAAAAAAATAAAATTATATATACTTAGATCATATATATATATTATATATATATGATCAAAGTATATATATACACATATACATACACACATGTACACCGTCTAGGTGTATTTTACTATTAATATATATATAATTATATATATATATTAATATCAAATTACACGTACACTGATACTGATTAAATATATATATAATTATTGTTATATATATATTTATATATATTATAAAAAAAATTAAAATGTAAATACGTTAAAAAATAAAATTACAAAAATAATTAAAAATAAATAATTAAAAAATATATAGATGTGTGTTATTTCGTTCTAACTGTATTGTGAAATTAATATATATATATATATATCAAAATACACATAGAACGAAATAATATATATATTTATACACATAAATATATACGTATATATCACTATATATATACCTATATATAAATAAAAATATTTTAAAAAAATTATATAGATATATACATATATATACACATACGTATATATATACATATATTGATTCTACATATATATTTATGTAATATTTTTACATAATTAGGTATCTTAATTAATTACAATTAGCAGGACCTGCATGACAACCCATGCCGAAAGTAAAGGGAATTTAATTTGCTAGCACTATATTTAACCCTATAACTTTCCGAGACACCATAAAACCTGTACATGGGGGGTACTGTTCTACTCGGGAGACTTCGCTGAACACAAATATTAGTGTTTCAAAACAGTAAAATGTATTACAACGATGATATCGCCAGTAAAAGTGACGTTTTTTGCATTTTTCACGCACAAACAGCATTAAACGGACAATATTATTGCTATGATACTTTTTACTGTTTTGAAACACAAATATTTGTGTTCAGTGAAGTCTCCCGAGTACAACAGTACCCCTCATGTACAGGTTTTATGGTGTTTTCAAAAGTTACAGCGTCAAATATAAGGCTTGCGTTTCATTTTTTTCACATTAAAATTCGCCAGATTGGTTACGTTGCCTTTGAGACCCTATGGTAGCCCAAGAATGAAAATTACCCCTATGATGGCATACCATTTGCAATAGTAGACAACCCAAGGTATTGCAAACGGGGTATGTCCAGTCTTTTTTAGTAGCCACTTAGTCACAAACACTGGCCAAAATTGGCGTTTTTTGCATTTTTCACACACAAACAAATACTAACGCTAACTTTGGCCAGTGTTTGTGACCAAATGGCTACTAAAAAAGACTGGACATACCCCATTTGCAATACCTTGGGTTGTCTACTATTGCAAATGGTATGCCATTATGGGTGTAAATTTAATTCCTGGGCTACTATAAAGTCCAAAGGCAACGTAACCAATCTGGCGAATTTCAATTTCAAATGTAACGTGCTATATTTGACCCTGTAACTTCCCAAAACGCCATAAAACCTGTACATAGGGGGTACTGTTTTACACGTGAGACTTTGCTGAATACAAATATGTGTATTATATTGGAATAAAAGCAAACAGTATTATGACACTGACCGTTAAAATGTCATGTAGAACTAAAAAAATCCAAAAAAATTGTATTTTCTCCCATTTTTTTCATATTAAATTATGTTTCATAGCTAAATATTTGATATTAAATGAAAGCCCTGTTTCCCCTGAATAAAATGATATATAATAAGGGTGGGTGCATTTACTATGAAAGAGGTGAATTACGGTTGGACAGACATGTAGCGCAAATGCCAGGTTTTGTTTACATTTTGTTTTGTTCACAACGTGTACATTTGGCTCCGTCCTTAAGGGGTTAACAAGGATAAAAAAAATATATAAAATAAAGATTAAATATTAAAAAATAAAACCACAGATCTAAACGGGGGACAGGGTGTACAATTTATCCCTGCGTTAGCCTGTGCCTGGGTATACCTGGAACACTTCTTGTGCATGTCTATGCATGAAACAACACATGACATCACACAGATATGCCATGGTAGATAAGAGCTGCCTGTGTAGTTATACCTGTAATCACTAGCTGGTTATCTGCGCAATTGGAGATCCATGACTATCGATAAAACACTCTGCAATTTTTAGGAAAACACTTGAGGCTCAAGCCTGGAACTGCTCCAAACAATACTCCTGTCTCGTGTGTTTTTGGAAGAAAAAAAAAGTGTGCTCACAAGTGACAGGACTGCTTTAATTAAAGTAACCTTATTGTAAATGACCCTACATCTAGAACCATATCTATAAATATATGTATATATAAACATTCACTAGACTTTAAAATTATATTGCTCGGGTAGGTTCAATCGACCAGTGGCCGTTTAGGGTTCTCGACCTCGAAAAAGTTTCAGGTTAAACCTACACTGATTCTGTAATGGAGCCAAGATGAGTCTGTCCAAAATCTATTGATTTTGATCCTGTCGACGCTCGCTACACCTACACTGTCCGATAAATCAATACCTGACAATTTTTAATTATGTTTTACCTATGTTTTATTGTTAAATGCAAAAAAAGAGAAAAAGGTGAACATGAATGCTTCATGAACACTCCTGATACTGTATCTAGCACATGACATATTTCACGTGGCTGAGATTGCACCTATGCTGTATTTAACATTCACAATAAAAATGTTTACATTTTTTTTTTTTATTATATTGCTGTTAAATCATTGCTAAACAATATTGAGGGTCATTATAATCACCCTATTAGGTGTGCACAGGGGGTGTGCCAGGTGTGCATAGGCACACAGTAATTCAGGGCCAAATTGTCCTTTTATGTGTCTTATCTAGCTCTGCCCAGCACGTATGTGTGAGTTGGGATAAGCTTATTATGTTTTTGAAGAAATCCTCCGTATACAACTAGTTATTTGTTAAATTTGGATTGGGCACATATTTTAGCTAACTATATTTTTTTCTCTGGGTGCACACACTAATGTAATGTTCTGTGCACACATATGGTCACCAGATAACAGCATTTCAGTGATGAGTCCAGTGACATTGTAGCATTACTTGCAAAATGGTACCCCACATTAGAACTAGGGGTATTCCCTTCATCTAAACAGATAATTGAATGTCACCTCCCTTTTTACCATGCACGATAAACACCTAAAAACATTGCCTAACCCTGTCAGCACTATGAGAAACTGCAAACATTACAGCCACTCAATGCTCCAAGCAAAAAAGAGAGAGAAAGAGAGAGAGAGAGAGATTGAATGATTGATTCCTGGGACACGACAGAAAGAGAGATATGCACCCACATCAAGCTTGATTATAACTGCCGTATACAGAACATAAACCACATAGAATAATAGATTTCTCTTGCTGATATGCTAACCCTTACAACCACTGTTAAGTAAATCACCGTGGACGCCTCATGGATAATAGTTGAATCACGAAGAAGACCCAACATTACTTATTGCTCAGCAGCTGTTATCGCTGAGTCAGAGGATGCAGCTGATGGTAATAAAGATACTTACAGTAGGTAGGGAGCTCTATGATTGGCTGGGAGAGAGCTCAGCCTCCTCCATGTGTAGCGCTGCCCCTGGCTAAGAGAGGTGCGAGTCTTCCTGCAGCTCCATCCCGCACAGACACCTGTTGGCCGCTGATCACCATGGACACGCTGCAGAGGGTATTTAAAGGAACCTTTGTACATTCCACGCGCAGCTGCGCTATGGAAGTATTGGAACACCACATTCTCGGTGTTGGTACCTCAGGCAAAGTAAGTTTTATACCTGCCGAGGGGGAAACAGCACAGAGTATGAATTGGAAATATCATATGCATTGCTTGTAATTTCTAAACTACAAATATGTTCTGGTAAATTAATAACGTGTGTGCCCAATCACCAGCTATTGAATGGTCCTGAATGTGAAAATATTTCGATTTGGATGTATAATTATGTGTTGGCTTTAGGTCGCCTCAAGCTGTAATGTAGTCAGTGTAAGTAATGGGTGTGTAATCTCTGGTAGCAGTATGTATGCAAGTTATTTGCTTTTTTGCTGATTTAAGTTTCCCTTATTCTGGTTAAGTGTCATTTTTTTCACTTGGTTATCAGATGACACAAAGAAAGATCTAACCCTGTAATATTTGAATTAAAATAAATTATTCACTAAAATAAATCAGACAGAATCACTACGTGAGATAGAAAGCTGGGAACCAGTAATCATTTGCAACTCTTTTGCTTTTGCGATTAACCAGCTTCTTACTGGAAACTAAGTTATAATTCCAGCCCTATAGGCTACTTTATTATTCACTTACCTTCCACACAGCCGGGTAAAGAGTTTCTGAACAACCAGCTTGCTTTACCATTTTGAATGCACCCATTCCTCACTCTCTGTTCCTCTCAACAGCTTACCCAGTGGTATGTGGCACTTAACCCTGGCAGATAAAATTATGTGTGCACATGTCAGTATGAAAACTGTTTGCAGAATCCTGTTAAATCAGTGATATTGTACTTATTACATTTTAAAGCAGACATAGAACCCTCACTTCTGAGTAATTCTGATTGTATTTAAGATTAAAGGACAACTATCATTAAGTGTTAATTTATTATTTTTTAAAGCTTTGTTATATTTAATGTAACCTAATTATATATATTGAAAATTATGTATATTTTTTGGGGGGGGCAATCACTTTTTTTATTAAGATGCAAGCAAATACACTTGGCATACAATACCAATATACATCATGAAGCATTAAACAATTATACATTGGAGATTACAGCACCTCATTTTATATAAGTATGGCAAAACAGTATGCTTATAACAAAAACAAAAAAGAAAAAGGTTTGTAAAATCAAAAGAAGGCAATGTAGGCATTGATTGCTATGACAGTAGGCATCAGCACAGAGACACACTTAGGCAATAGCTGAGATTGTAATATCTTGAGAACGACTATATAAAACATCATAGGAAATACATCAGCTGATAGTAGGTAATAACTAGTCAATATATTACCATGGTGTAGAATGAGTAAGCAGTACTAGAATAAGCATGTAAAATACAAGATAATTGACACTCTTAATCCACTGGAACTAGTTTTAGAAAGCGAAGATTCTCTTGTAGAAGAAACTGGCTGCCACAAAGAAATCATTAACTTGGGGCCTAAAAAGTAGGCTGTCAGTGATGCATGGAGGGACAGTCAACCGAATCCCAGGCTGGGCAATATTTGTGTATACTTGCAGAGTCCTTTAAGAGATCAGCATGTCAAAGCCAAAGTAAAGTAGTCCTCCAGTCCCAAGCCTGTCCAAGAGCTGACACTTTGTTTCCACAGACCCAGTGACTCACAGAGCCCAAGTCATTCTGTCAGAGAAACTTTGATGACAGTTGTCTTTTAAAACACATGTCTCTATTGGGACAACATGTTCTATTCTACTCTTTTACATTTCAGTTATATCTTACTACCCAGGTGATTTAAATAGATGGCTGCAAGCCTGCACTTGTGTTAAGTGGACCAGAGGTGCTAAAATGTGGACATTAAATCCCACCCGGGCCAGACTGGGACAAACATTTTTCTCTGGCATTTATTAATTACCAGCCTAGAAGGAGGGGCCAGGGCCAGAAAGGCAATGTGTTGAGCCATCACCAATGACAAGCATGCCCTCCCAAAGTGAACATGTTATTGCAAAACTCACCCAGACATGCTAAAGGGTTGTGTTTGTTTTGTACAGCGCAAGAAAATGTGAAGGAACACACCTACCCAAAAAACAACATAAGCTAATTTAAATTACTATGAGGGCAGTAGTGTCCTGGAATTAAACTGTAAAATTTCTCTCATTGGACACCCCCGAGAGTGACACCCAGACATCTTCATTTCAGTGGAGTGGCATTGGCACAGTGCCCTATGCGTTTTAGCTCAGCTATTATTTAATTGCAGATCTAAACATATCTCTTGCAACTGTCTTCCTGACTTCTGTAACGTTCAGTGCTTCCCTATGAGAAACATTGGATAAGATGCACATGTGCATCCCGTCCCTAATGCTTCTCTATGAGAAGCATTTGTTTGGATGGGAATCCAAATGTATGTATTTAGAAACAACTCTCTATTTATAAGATACATTGTCCTTGTTCAAATTATATTTCACTTGAATAATTGTCATTAGTAAGTCACCTAAAATTTCTCAGAATTGCTCTGAATCTGGCCACAAGTCCTTGTACTCCAAAAATAATGTGTCCCTCTTTGTCTGTTTGAAATGCTGGGAGGTATGGTGAATAACTTTGTGAGTGGCAGGACCACGAGGAAGCTGTGATTTAAAACCTCTAAAGCTGCAGAACACAAGCTCCCTAACATAACTGAGGGGGTGCATGGTGAGCAAAAGAGATCTGATCTCTTTACTGGTCTGTGCGGTGTCAGGAAGCACCTCAATGAATGCTGTCGAGTCTAATACCTTTTTCATGTAATGTAAAAGTTTGTTAAAGATTTCTATATAGCTCCAATATTCTCAGATTAATCATCAATGCAAGCCCCAAAGCTTTCACTGAGGACTTTGGCCAGAAACTGAACTAAGGTAAACTTGCTGAAAGTGATCCCTGAGCTGCAGAATTCTGATAAGTTTTAATACAGTTTGCACGAAAACATACTGTGGTCCAACGAGTCCTGAAATAGGAGCATAGCCTTTGTGTTTTTCCTAAACAGCATTTTTTGCTATGAGGTATTAAGTCTTCATAATTGAATTATTCAAAGAGCTCCATATTTCTATAATAAGTTAGTAGAAAATAAGGTAATTTTATAGCAATTTAGAGGCAAAAAACTGTTTTTAAAGAGTGCCAACTTTATCATAACATTTCAATTTCTCTGCAATAACCCGAACTAGCATACAATTGGAGCTAGAATTAGAATTCATCAAATAAGACTCCACAGGTAAATCCCAGGAAGATGGATTAGTGTGAGCGTATAAGGAGCGATAGCAATTTGATTTGTTGCTACCAGCTGAAAATTATTTTGTGCACAAGTCTACTAAATTAGGGCTAGCCTATGAAAATACATCCAATTTGTGTTTAAAGGACACTCCACTGCCCAAATTAAAAAAAAAAAAAAAAATTAAAAAATTATATACAAATATAATGTACAGAAATACTTATACAATACAGACAACTGAGCATAACACAGATATCTTCATATTATAATACAAACTGGGCACAACATAAGGATATCTATAAAATACATGGAGCTGAGTACAATACAGAGATAACCATACCATCGATAGAGCGGAGAAAAAAAAAATTAGAGATATGATACACAGAGCTGGGCACAGTACAAAGATATATATAGAATACACAGAGATGGGTAGACTACAGAGATATCCATAAAACAGGTAGAACTGAAATCTATTACTGTCATTTTTTCCAGTATTTTTGGCTTACCACTCTCCCCAGCAAAAGTATTTTTAGTGTTTATAAACTACTGCAAATACATTTTTTTTATCCACATAAAAACTGTTTGTAATCATAAATTTCAACTATATGACCCTAAATTGAACAGTCACCAAGTTATAGCACTTCAGTACATATTAGTCCATTGTAAATAGATACATATATATGCTAAAATATGCTTGTTTTGTGTGTAATTTGTGTTGGATAAATTATTTAATTCAGTAACTGTAACAGAAAAATTTTCTGAATTAGAAAATAAGTCAATAAGACGTCATTTTTAGATGTAACGTGGTGTATTATTGTAGGATTTCTCAGGAATGTTAATGTGATCACTTTAACAGTGAAGTAGTCTCAGGTTGCTCAGGGGTTCACAAAATATTTTTTTCATAATTGTTTTTTTGTTTTCAAAGTTTTTTTTTCTTCATTTTTTGGATACAACATAAAACAATGTACCCCTCATCAGTCAGTGAAAGTCTTCATTGATTTGACTAATTATATCTAAGCGGAACCAAGGAATTTGCACTCTCCTGTAGTGGTTATGGTGCTTGTAGTGTTCATTTAAATATTTTGACAGATAATGGGTTTGTGA